TTTGCGCTTTGGAATTCTTCAGGGGTAAAGGATTTTGAGTTTGGAATTCTTCAGGGGTAAAGGATTTTGAGCTTGGAATTCTTCAGGGGTACGGTGTTTTGAGTTTGGAATTCTTAAGGGGTAAAGTGTTTTGAGTTTGGAATTCTTCAGGGGTAAAGTGTTTTGAGTTTGGAATTTCTCAGGGGTAAAGGATTTTGAGCTTGGAATTCTTCAGGGGTAAAGTGTTTTGAGTTTGGAATTCTTCAGGGGTAACGTGTTTCGAGTTTGGAATTCTTCAGGGGTAAAGTGTTTTGAGTTTGGAATTCTTCAGGGGTAAAGTGTTTTGAGTTTGGAATTCTTCAGGGGTAAAGTGTTTTGAGTTTGGAATTTCTCAGGGGTAAAGGATTTTGAGCTTGGAATTCTTCAGGGGTAAAGTGTTTTGAGTTTGGAATTCTTCAGGGGTAACGTGTTTCGAGTTTGGAATTCTTCAGGGGTAAAGTGTTTTGAGTTTGGAATTCTTCAGGGGTAAAGGATTCGAGCTTGGAATTCTTCAGGGGTAAAGAGGTTTGAGATTGAAATTTTTCAGAGTTTGGAATTCTTCAGGGGTAAAGTGTTTTGAGTTTGGAATTCTTCAGGGGTAAAGGATTTTGAGCTTGGAATTCTTCAGGGGTAAAGTGTTTTGAGTTTGGAATTCTTCAGGGGTAAAGGATTCGAGCTTGGAATTCTTCAGGGGTAAAGAGGTTTGAGATCGAAATTTTTCAGAGTTTGGAATTCTTCAGGGGTAAAGTGTTTTGAGTTTGGAATTCTTCAGGGGTAGAGTGTTTTGAGCTTGGAATTCTTCAGGGGTAAAGGATTTTGAGCTTGGAATTCTTCAGGGGTATAACTATGAAAAACATGTATCCTCGACAGGGGGGGTACGGATATTAAATGGAATAGCCCAATTTACGTGTAAGCATGCAGGTCAAGGTATAGTTATTAGACGAAGTTGTTGCTTCCGTGAAATTTCGAAATTTAAATATAATTAAAGTAATTAATAAATTGTACTTATATACCAATACTATACCCATACTGCAATATTATATAGAGAATAATAATACATGGGTGCGCGGAAATACCAGATTTTTTTCGAGTGTTGAACATGATATCTCACGAGTGAGCGCAGCGAACGAGTGAGATATCATGTTCAACACGAGAAATAGCCTGCGCGGCAGGCGGTATTTCTACAGGCAGCGAACATTAGGGAGGCAAAGGAAGTACCGCCTGCCATGCAGGCTACACGAGAAATAAATCTGGTATTTCCAAGCACCCATGTATTATTCTGTTTATTATATAAAGAACAACAGTCTTTGAAAAGCGATAATGTTTACAGAAAAGCGATAATTTTCACATATGAGATTATCATAAATAATCTCACATGTGAGATTATCACTTTTATCAGTGCTCGAAATCTCTATAAAGCACTATACTTTATATAATAAATATTTATCTTCTATATACTTTGCTTATACTCCAAGTTGTCCATCTCTTTCAAGGTTAAGACGCTGAATTATCCAGTGAAGGATGAAAGAATTCGTATCAGACGAGCTTTTGGCAGTAAGTTCTTTTACGAATTGCTACTGCATAACTATAGTAAGGATGTATCATTAAATGAGCATTTTTGTTCTTGTATATGTTCGGGGACGAAAGCGAAATATTATTGAATACTGCGTTTTTAAACTATAGTTTGAATATGAATATTCATGGTAGAAATCATGCATGAATATTTGGGGTAGGAATATGAATATTGCGGATAGGAATATGAATATTCGGAGACGGAGTAGTATATTATGAATATTTTAATCAGAATAGGAATAATGAAGATAGGAATATTGAACAATATTGATGCATGTACGTAGGAATGTTGAACCAAAATTATTTCGTTTCCACCCCGGTGCGATGATCGGGATTTCGTAATTTTCTTCATGTAAAAAATAAAGCACGTTAGTTTGCAGAAAATAGTAATTACATTGGACGATTTTCAATGAAAATTATTTTACACAAAATTTGATTGGTTCGGCAAGACGGCAACACGTAATTGTGTTGCATTGTCTCGATCCTTAAACATCATCTTAATCAATCTCGTTCCCCGAGCCTGCGATCCTCGGGAAGGAACGCGAGGCTCTGGGATAATCCGTTGCCGGAAGCCAGGAATTCTGGCTAAGATTGAACAACGCATCCATTTCAACGGCCAATCAGATTCCTCCCTGAAACGGATTATCCCAGAGCCTCGCGTTCCTTCCTGAGGATCGCAGACTCGGGGAACGAGATTGCATCTTAATGGGTATGTTGCTGGTTGCCAGTCCGCGCGCGGTTTTTCGCATTTTTGCAATGCATTGTGGTATCGCTGGGGGCAAACAATTTGAAAAAGAACTATAAATATATGCATATTTCTTTGTTTTTAAAAAAAGTGTTTAAATATTTATGATATGGCTCTAATTCCTATTGGTAGAAGAGAAGTTAGAGTTCAAGGTGATGGCAACTGCTTCTACAGAGCTGTAGCACGAGCGTTAAACGGCAAAACGGATCGAAATTATTCGAAGGTGAGATCGCTTTGCAACGCCGTGATAGAAGACTTCCCCCAAGTTTTTCTTCCTTTGCTTTTTACTCATACAACAGTAGAGGAACATCTTAAACGTAGTCGTAAGGATGGTACATGGGCCGAAACGGCCGACATTTTTAGTTGCGCCACTGTACTTCAACACACTATTGTTGTGTATTCAATGGCAAAAGAAATGGGTAAAATTTGACCCTTATCTCAAGATTACGCCTCGGATGACCGTCAAGCGTTCCTGCGATTGTCCTATTACATTGGTGTTGCATGATTTTTTCCCTCAGTCGAGTCACTTCAATCTGTTAGAAACTGATGGTGACTGTTGTTCTGCTCCCACGCCAGAAAATAGTAAGGAAAGTGTATTCATTGATTTGGTTGACCCTTTTGCTTATATGGATGAGTTGATATCGTCCCATGTGAATAAACCAACAGTTTTGGTTTCAAATCCAGTGGAAGATAAAACTTCATCAGTGCAATCAACTGTGAAAAAATCTAATACCATGAATATGGATAAGAAGTCGAGGAAACCCACAATCCCCAAACTACCACAACAGTCCAAAACGTTTTATGCCAATGAGATAAAATTGAAAACATTAACCAAGCCAAAACCACCAAAATCAATAGATCTTGACAAGAAGAAAAAATCAAAGAAACCGAGACTTTCAAAACCACCAAAACCTTCATATAGTGGCACTGATGACAAAAAATTGAAGAAACCCACCCTCCAAAAACCGTTAAAACCTAAAAACATTAACAGTGAGAAAAAAAACAATGAAACTACTAAATTTGATTAATTGTGATGTCAATAAAAAAGTTCCAAAAATCCAACTCTCTCTGAACAATTAAAATCAAATGCTAAGAGCAGCAACCAAATGAAACTTGAAGATCATCAGTCACCTCTTGACATTAATGAAAACAATACTGAGAATACAAAACAATTTTTTGAAAGCATGAAGGTAGAAGAGTTAAAAACATATATACGAGAAAGGGGTGTTCCAGTTTCTAAATACAAGAAAAATGACCTGATTATGTTAGCCAAGTCTCTACATGAAATGGGTGCAATGACTGACCCTGATTTTGAAAAGGATTCAATAGAATGTTGTTTAAATGAACGGCTTACTCTGCCTGCTGGTAAGAAGGTTCCTGATCCTTTTTTTATGAAGAATATGTCATCTGACTTTTCATCACTTCCTAATTTTGGATTAATGGATATTTTCAATCATTTGATAATGAGCAAGGCAAATTATGACAAGGAAAAGCTTTCTTCGTGGAGAAGTTTTGATGATATTCTTTGCCAAGCAGGACATGTAAGATTCCTTCAAAACCAAATTATTTTTGATAATGATGATAGAAAGTTCCATGTAATTGTAGCTCATGTAATCCCTACTCAAAAGGAATTGACACAAGAAGGTGATAAAGCATACAAACTATGGTTTATTTACAACCTGATGGATCAGTTTATTTAGCATTCTGTCGATGCAAAGGTGGAGCAGACCAAGGCTGCAGGCATCTTGGAGCTGCATTGTTTGAGCTAGATGAATTTCTGTCAAGTGAAAGATGTTCTGTGACATCTCTCCCAGCATATTGGAATCCTAAACCAAAACCTGAAACAAAACCGATTCCTTATTTGGAAATGAAACTTTTCCATTCTGAAGGTCTGAACAGCAAAAGAAAGAAAACAAATTATGATGATTCTTGGATTGACTCTTTTGATCCAAGACCCACAAAGCAAAGAAAGGATATTTCACCTGAAGACAAAATGTCATTTGCAAAAAAGCTACAGGACATTGATGAACATTCTGGTATACTTGACTTTCTATATCCAGATGATGAGCCTGAAGATTCAAAAGAGGAACAACATGCATGCTCAGAACAGATAGAAGATTTCTCATATTTAACAATCTTATCAAGGGCCTCATCATTTGTGAAAAATAACTTTCTTAGTAATGAAAATATCATGCAACAATCTTTAGAATTTGTTGACCAACTGTCCACTACAGCATCTGAAAGAGATGTTATCAACAATATTACAACTGGCCAACACACCACTCAATGCTGGCATGAATTTCGGCCCTTGTTGGTTACTGGCAAAAAAATGAAAGGACTTTTTACAAGACAAAAGACAGTAGTAGAAAAAAATCCTAATGAAGATGTGAGTAAAACTGTTCAAAATTTTTTAACTCCTTCAAGACCATTTGAAAATAATAAATGTCCAGTGGCTATTAAGTATGGCACAGAGATGGAGGATGAAGCAAAAACATCCTATTGTAGGATTATGAAAAAACAACACATTAAGTTTGGATTCAGTGAAACTGGCTTGGTTCTAAGCCCTGATCATGGATGGGTAGGAGCAAGTCCAGATGGAATAAGAGAGTGCCATTGTTGTGAAGATACACTTGTTGAATTTAAGTGTCCTTACACAGGTAGAGACATGGATCCTAAATCTGCATTTTTGTTGGATACTGTTGGTGGGGCAATTAATGAAACCGGTTTTCCATATATTCGCAAGAACCACATTCACTACTTCCAAGTGCAGACTGGAATGGCAGTGTGTGGCCTGAAGCAGTGTGACTTTGTTGTTTTTACCAACATGGAAATCTATATAGCAAAAGTAGAATTTGATGAGGAATTTTGGAAAAGTACTGGGTGTCCCAAAAAAAAGTACTCCGGTTTGATTCGTAATAACTTCTAAACAAGTAAAGCTTTTAAAGAGAAATGACTTGCATCAAATAGAGGAAGGGTTAACTTAGATTTTCATATATTACAGTTGTATTTGATTTAAAAATTCATGGAGATATTAAATGTTTAAAATCGGGAGCATATTTCTGGATGTTTCTAAAATATGCAAAAAAACGGAGTATCAAATATTAATCAAGATTTGCCCGACTAAAACATGCACTATTACCAGTAAATAAATGACACATGACAAATTGTTTATTATAAAACAAAGTATTATTATCTACAAAATACAAGCAAGATTTATTCGTCCGAAATCCGCGTGTGTTCCTAGCACGAATACGTTTCCTTATTTCATGAGACCACTGCATCGCGAAGGATCGTCATGGATCGTTCGTAGTTCTGAATCATGCTGTCACAATGGAGTTGCGAAGCTCTTCTAACTTCTGCAACATTCTGAAATCTTGTTGAGAACACCCAAACTCTTTTGCCTTTTCTTAATCTTGGCAAGTTCAGAATAAACTGAGAATGAAACATAATCAAACCATATATACAACTCCTGCATAAGACAAAACAAGCAACTCCCAAAAGACATCCAACATTTTTGGAACAAAACGTAACAAAATAGCGTTGATACTGTGATATGTCTTTGCAAAAAGCAATATTATTTCCTTCATTAAAGAATAATATTCATCCTGCTCTAACTGATCGTGAGAAATAATCAACTCTGTTTTGAACCCATGAAAAACATAAAAAAATTAGCCTATTTAAGAAAAATTTAAGCGCCTGTCTTGCATGGTCTTTCATGTGCCTTTAAGTTTGTAAAGACCTATTAAATACTTGCATAATTTCGAACGTTCATATTTCAGGAAACAATCAGCTAAAACTTGCATGTAAGATATCTAAATCTACGCCATATATCCATCACAAACCCTAACGACAATTCGCTGAAAAGCAAGTTAGCCTGATATGTCACTAAGCGAACAAACGCTGGAGTTAATATTTAATATGCCGATTTTCAGTAATTTTAGACACATCCCAAAATATGCTCCTGATTTTGAAAATTAATATCTCCGTGAATTTCTAAGCAAAATACAACTGTAATATATCAAAATCTAAGTTAATCCTTCCTCTATTTAATGCAAGTTATTTCTGTTTGATAGCTTTACTTGTTTAGAAGTTATAATAAATCAATTTTGGGACACCCGGTACAATCAGTACTGTTAAATTGTTTTACACTAAAAAAATAATTTCAGCTCTTTTATTGCAAATTCAAGAGAGCAATGATCTAGATTTATCAAATAGCATGTAAATTGAAGGTTATATATGATTGGTAATGTAAATATTTTTTCATTTTCCTAAAATGTGTGTGGTTATAAATAAGAAATAGCAATAGTATAATAGCACTAAGCTGATCTGTTTGTGACAAACAAACTATCAAAGACTTCAAAGAGTGGTTATATGGTATTAATTAATATTACTTGATTAATATTTAAAGTCTCTGGCATAAAACAGAGTGAAATATTGTATAAACACAGCCAGTTTTGCTTTAAATATTATTCAAATTATATGAAATATCCCATAAATTACTTCAGGTGAATTCAACATTGTTACTGTTATAATTCTGTAGTTCACTTGATTAGCTGCTTTTGAAGGTTGGATAATGCTGCACAAACCAGGATAATACGATCCAACATCATCTTTAGCAGTAATGGGATTACTCCAGACAAAATTCGGAAATGTTTCAGCCTTAAAATAGAACGTTCAACATGTGACCTCAGGGCAGCAACACGACGGGTGTGGGTTACAGCATTGGAGGAAAGCCAAGGTCCTCTGCAATAGGCTGGAGAAATAAGTTGAATTTTCTTAAATGCTAGCAAATCCCGGATTAGAAAGCCTTTGTTGGCCATTACAGCATCACCATCTTCTAAAAAATTAATCAGTCCTGAATTTCTGACAATTTCTTTGTCAGAAGTACTCCCAGTCCAAAGTGGGGGAAGAAAGGAAATGACCCCAGTAGGTGTTATGCCTACAAGTAACTTGACTGTGTTGTAGTGCTTGTAGCTGCTCCATGTAGTTTTTTGACTTTCAGGAATCAATGGCTTTTGAATGTAAAATTCACAACAATCAATGATCACCCGAATGTTAGGAATTCTTTGGAACTGTTTTGGTAATACTCTTTTTATCTCACCTCGACTTGGCCAGGGAACAAGGAATGATAACTCTTCTGATAGGAAGATAATCCAGGTATTATAAATACGAAACACCTGGCTCACACTGATTCCAAACGTGTCAGCAAGAAAGTGAACATCAAAACCCTTTCGTGTTCTTACTAACGTAAGAACAAACTCCTCCCAGCTTGTCCCTTCTTGAACCTGGTGTATCAACAGATCCTTTCCAATAGCGTAAAGACTTTGCCTTTCCTTTTATCAAATCAAACACTAAGTCCAGTTTTTCTCTAGTGACCCCTGTGTATCTAAAACAGTTCCTATTAGATGTAGCCTGCTTGACAAACAGGTCTCTTCGAGATTTCTTTTCATTCTCTACAGATACATCTATTTCATCTGAATGATGTGTCATAATCATTTGATATTTCATCTGAACCATTAAAAAAACTGTGATGAAAAACTACTGCTCGACTCGCCAAAATCGTCTTCTGGTTCTTTCTTTATGTTATTATTATGGATATGACTCCAATAATTTTCCTCAGATAGGGTTGATACTGACTGTGATTTATCATGCGATACATCAAGTTCTGAATAGTCTGAATAGGAATCTGACAAACAAATGCTACTTCGACGTTGTCTTTTAGGTTTAGGAGCCAAACTTTCCCTTTTTTTCGGGGATGGACGGGTTTTCTTCTGTTTATCAGGACAATAACCTTTTAGATAAAGCGTGGGATTGGGGCATTCCTCGGATCGGTAACCTGCTTGAAAGTGTTCGAACAAACCTTCGTATTTGACGTGACTTTGAAGTGCTTACGATTGAGCAATTTCTCCATTTTACGATATCTTTCTGAGTTTTTGGTGAGTAAAATCTAAGAATACCAACATGTGGTTTGATCATTTGTTTTTCCGGGTATCTGCGATCGTTTGAACAGCCATAAACTGCACAATGATCACCTTTTGCCATACTTTCGTTGTAAAACTAATAATTGTTTGCCCCCCAGCGATACCACAATGCATTGCAAAAATGCGAAAAACCGCGCGCGGACTGGCAACCAGCAGCATACAGTGAACTATATACAGTGGCAACATACCCATTGAGGATATTACCTATTTGCACTGTAAAATCTGTTTTTACAGCTTGTGTAATAATTGTTCTGATATTGATTCTGTTTCAGATTGTAAAGTACACAAAAAAGTCGACAAAGTTTACGGATTTTCGCAGTTAACTGATTACAATGTGCAGTCTGTTATCAACAATGGGGTGAAAGTTACTTGGAAATCACCACTAGGTACGTCGTACTGAACCAATGACTGCAGGAAATAGCAGCACTCATATATTGGAATAGATGTTCACTAGACTGAATAATTGCATGCATGCATGCATGCATGCATGCATGCAGGAACTAAATTTATACTATGACATTATTTATACGCGAGCGTTGATTGGTCGAGAAGCTTGTTTCTATGACTAGCAGGCCAGTATTTATAGTAACTCCAAGCCCACTTCTAACACTAACCTCTAACCCCTAAAAAAATTAAAACTAGTTAGGAAAAAATTTAAACATATTTTAAGTGAAATCGTTAGGGCGAATAATATAACCATCCCAACGTCGGTTCGAACCGCGCACTACCCGAACTACATAAACTACAACACACCAGCCACTTGCCTAACCTTCTGAGCTGTTTTTGAGTTCGCTGAAATCCATTGTAAACAACACATTTTATAGTACTGGTCATTTATTAATATTAAGATGACCGGCTGCCAGCCAAATATATCACTCTGTATTTTTTGTACATATTCGGCAAAATGGTACTTTCAACTATACAACAATGAATTTCCGAAATATATAGGCCTACTGTAGCCGTGTAGGTGTATGTTAAGTCTTGGTTTCCATATGGTCGCAATGGTAAAAATAGAGTCGCGATCTTTATCAACGGCCAGTTTATAATAGTTTATATCTCTAAACCACATATAATATTCTCTACAGTACTGTAGTTATATCACTCCGAGTATTTTCAGTTCTAAAATGTTGTATTTCGGCTGATGAGAAAGATCGCGACTCAATCTTTACGACCGTTACGACCATATGGAAACCAGCCTTTATTTTCCATTTTGTGAGCTTTGATTTAATGTAAAATTTAATCTGAAACTCTTCATAAAATGTTTTGAAATGTTCGAATTCATTCAACTAAACTGCTTTTGCGGATGAACTGCTTTTGCTTTTGAGTAATTTCAGTTCGGTCTTCAAATTGATTTGCTCTTTACATTTTAAGTTTTGTTTTCTTAAATTAAAGAGGGTTATTCAGAAAACTTTTCCACTAGCAAAAAATTGAAGCAACAAATTCATAAACATTAAAATTTAAACATTTAAACCAGACTTGCCCTATATTCCACGATTTTCCACTGTAAATTAATTCTTCTCATTTATGCAAACAAAAATTGCTTTAGTTTAGAGCTCATTATATGAAACGATTTTCGAAATATATGTTTTTGAAAATTGAAATTTTGCTTACCCACTCCTGGGAAACAGCCATATTTTTGAAATCAGTGAGGAGGTCCCATAGAAATAATAGACAAAACTGGTCTAATATTTCTATGGGAGGTCCACCCATGACACCTTGGATCATAGCCACGCGCCCGCAATTATTGATGACCTTTAGACTTCGCTAATGCTTTCTTTTCCACGTGTGTCAGTGTAAAAAGCCGGGCGGAGTTAGTACCCTCGCCCCGGGCTTACGCCGGAACGGCGCTACGCACCGTTGGCTCGGGTGATAATTGAAAAAACTACAAAAACTATAACTACAAAAACTATAAATTAAAATAAAAATCGGCCATTTTATTTTATTTTATTTTATTTTTTAACTGAACTATCAATACAACGTGACGTTTACAGGTTGCTCTAAACAAAAAAATTAAATATTTTAGGAAGAAATAACAGTTCACCAGTTGGGTATTGGTTTAGATGGTTCGTGGACCGTGACCATGGTAGAGTCGGTTTTGAAAAGAGCTCATTCGTGTGTATATTTCTTTCTGCAGAGGTACGATTTCAATACCTTTTGCCTAAATGTTCCAACTTTGCAAAATATTATTCACAAACCGGTTTGTAAACTAGTGAATTTGATTGGCTTCTTTTAATTAAGGGACGGATCATAGGCTTTATTTACAAATTAGCCGCATGCATTTCAGACGGTCCACTTACGACGAGAGACAACCCTAGCCTCCTCCGCTTGCATCTCGCCATTTCCCGCAAGTAAATTCTGCCCGCAAGTCTAAAGGCGATGCCTGCGGAGGAGGCATCGCCTTTAGAGATTAGAGGCGGGCTTGGGCTTGGGGTTATGGATCAGCCTTGATACATTATAATAGGGGTCATACGAAGTATATACCGTTCTCTTTCGCGGGTAACCCGTAAATAGCCGAGCGGAATTAGTGCCCTCGCTGCGGACGCGATGTTGGCTCATAAAATGCTCGATTACGTATGTAAACAAAGAACGCAATCAAATTGAACAATTATCGCTTTGGATTCTTTTCAAAATAAAGCCTGAACCTAAACTGTAGGAACAAGTGCCGTTGATCAGACCTGTGAACGTTTTCAGTGCCACCAGGACACTCAGCTCGAACTTTTTTTTTCGCGGTTTCCGGGTATATGAAGGTATTTTTTTCCCGGCTGCTTCTCAGTTTTGTTAGAAAGTAGTGGAATATTTCCCAGATTCAAATATCTGACAAAAAACAGTAATCGCATGAAAATTACTCGTGTCCAAACTCAAACCGACTCCGTAAACTACAAGTCACAAGTGTTTGGCTCTTACAGTGTAATTTACTTTTGTGGTATATAAGCGTTAAGTATAGAATACCATAAACATGGGATCTCGAAAACATGTATTCCCGCCATAAAATCTCACGTTTTTTAAGGGCAAAGATAAAATCTCACGAATTTTAAGGTTGGCAGGTCTGTTGATGTTAACATGCGGGTAATTATAGCAACTTTGCTCTACTACTAAGAAACTTATAATTTGGTGATTTTTTGTCCTTTTGGTTCGCTCACCTGTATATACTTAATATTTTTGATAAGCATGCCACCAAAGTTGTCCGAAAATATGCAAATTTGCTTACGTGAAAGGTGGAGTGATCTGTCCATAGAAATATTTTCTTTCCTCCTATTCATCGTGACTAGAACAGCATGCACGTAATCTTATTGTTTTTCTGTTTGTTCAATTACAGAATACGTCGTTTGTTGTTCATGAGTCATCACATTGGAGGAAGGACGAGAACATATCATTTGCGGTTAGTATTTAGTATGCAAGCCGCTGTAGTATTGTCTATATAGAACTGCATGCATTTGAGTGTGATTTGAACAACATAACTTTGGTGGTCCAGTCACTATTTGAATTAATTTTACCCTGTATTTGGACGCGTTTTAAGTTTATTCAATCTACTGTTTAGATATTGTATATTTCTAAAGGCTAGTATAGCCTAGGACAGAAAGATTTTTGCATTATTTTTTTAATTTTTTGCATTATTTCATTAACTTAAGGTTTCGAGATTTGTAACCATTAGATAGTCACCTTACTTTGGTCATTGTGGTTGAACACTTCGGTGTTAAGATCATCACTTTTTGAATGGGAAATAGTGTTGAACAATATCTTAAAACCGCGTTCCGTTAATCTTGTATTTTATTTTCAAACTTTGATGCCTTGTTTTAAGGCCTGTCTACTCGATACGAGTTTATACGATTCTTATTCTGGCGTATGTAATTGAATGTAATCGAATAAACTATAAATCCATGTATAAAACTAAACTAGAGGGAAATTGGAGAATGTATACCTCCCCCAGCGAATAAGTAATATATCATGCATAAATTATACAATTGCTAATTATACGCATTGAGGCAAAGCAGGACAAACTTTTGCTAATTTCTCATCCACTTTTCATCCAAATTTAACCAATTTACTCAATAGACCTTTCCCCTTATAACTAAAATTTTGATCTCGACAAGTCTAGACAAAACTTTCATCAAAGCTTGAAAGAGCATCACAAAATTTGTAATATTCCGAAGTTTCGTTGCGAAATGTTGTAAAATGCAGATAATATAGCCCTGCGAAATTTGCAATTTTCAGTCATTTTGTATTACAAACGGGAAATTGATGCCCCCAACACCCGATTGGGCTGTCAATTTCCCATGCGTAATACAAAATGACTGAAAAACGGCAAACTTCGCAAGGCTATATTATCCGCATTTTACAACATTTCGCAACGAAACTTTGGAATATTACTAATTTTGTGATGCTCTTTTGTCCAGATCAAAATTCTAGTTATAAGGGGAAAGGTCCATTTATAATCAATGTCCATTACTTTCATAAATTTTCGAGTTAATACGTCTGATAGTTTTTCAGTTATCGTGCTGACAGACAACACCCTACTGTATATGATTCCGTTTAATTTCTTCGTTAAAATAATAAATGCTTCAATATTTTAGATAATCCCGTTGCCTAGAAAGTCTAAACGCATCCGGTTCGGGAACAGTTTTAAGTTTAAAGGTAAGATTTCAAACTTTCAAACGTAAGATTTTTTTGAGATTTTTGGTCACTGTTGGTCGATCTATGGCTATGCGCCACATTGGAATCGCAGGGTCCCAGATTCTAATTTATTTGCCTTTTCTTATAATTCGTGATTCGTCGCTCTACAGGCAAAACATTTGACTGATGAAAGGCAAATTGGCCTTGGAAAAAGGGAACTTTGAATTTGCATCAATATACTGTACTACACCTTATAGAGATCACATTACGGTCGTTATGTATCGTAAATAGTAGAATATATGATTTAAAGCACGCCATTACATGGTTATATGATTTATGTATACCAGTTATATTCCTAGCGTACATGCAACGATATCTTATAGTATAGTATATGTGGAAGGAATATGACAGGACCATAGAAATAATATATCTAGAATGCGTATATTCCTATCTTTCCTCAGTAGTCATTTTGTCTCCACAAAATGGCGGATTTATGTATAAGGGCGTTTTAGTTCGTCCCAATCTCTGGTGGCAAGGTATTTTGCGCGGTTGAGGGGAGTGCCCAATGTTTTTTTCAACAAAGTTTGCAAAATAAATGCAAAACATATTTAATATTCAGATTTAAAATCTAAAAGAGTTTGGTTCCAGTGGTTTTTTTACAAAAACAATGCAAAAATCGTTGTTTAAAATACAGATTCAAGATTGCTGTGACAGCCGAAACCTTGGCCAAAACAACAAACAAAAGATAAATACAAACTCAATACTTAATAGGAATGTTTTAAAAAATATTTCCACTGTTTTATAGTATATATATGGAGTTCAATAATTTTTTCAAATCGACAACTAAATATTTTTTGTTTGAAAACGTGGAAACATGCATGTATTTCATTTCATTTGGTTTGTAGAAAAACGAAACTGGACGAAGAATGATCTTCTTGTTGTAACCTCAAGAGATATTTATAGCAAAATAGAATTATTCCCAGAGCGTGCAAACGTTTAAACGCTTTATTTTCTGCAGCACGACGTTATATTGTATACTTTACAATAGAGCACGTTGGGTTGTTTTCTCCATGCACAGGTTCTCTTATATATGTCATTAATCTGCGAAACTATAAAAAAATGCGTTTGAGTATATTTCAGGATTAATTCGTTCACTCATTACTTGCCATTAGCCACTCCAATGCGTTATTCCAAATTTCATATATTTATAAATTCTTAATTGTTATTCCATCCTATTCCATCCAGAACCGCATTAAAATGTTTAATATATTTCATGACTTAATTAAATATTACAATAGCATATACAACCCCTCGAGTAAAGACATCAAGGAAAATATCGACAAGTACAACAGAATCAACAATCAGTGACAAGACCTCGCGACGTAATACGAAGATGAACACTTCAGCCATGAGTGCCGAAAAGAAGCAAAATAAAGAAAAAGAAATATTTACATTCGTCATTGTTGCTATAGCTTGCGCAGCTATATTAATACTTGGAGTTATTCTTGTATTACGATATTGGAAACAGAAAGTGGGAGATCATTCAGGTATGTTATACTGTATACTGGAAGTGCATTTATCCAAAATCTCACATAACCCACAATGAAATAAAATCTTTATAAAATAGCCTTTTAAAAACACGGGCGCTGATTGGTCAAAAGCTCAAAAAAACCGTGTTTCTATAACTCGATAAAAACACGAGGAATTTTCACGCGGGTTTCGTGGGTTGCGCGGGAGTTTAAAAGACAAAATACAAACAATATTGAAATATTGAAAACGAAAACGCCGAAGAACCGTTACAAAAAAAGGCAACACTTTGCTAACTTAGAAAGCGAAGACCTAAAGCACAAATTATAACAGCACACGTTGTATTTGTTTGACTGTTTACCAAGGTAAGATATTTTAATTTTACTTTGACTTTGTCTTTTTAAAAAATATTTCCTCGCGACGTTTTTAATCATGTTTACTATCGTTTTTAATCATGTTTAAGCGTTCACGGTTCACTAGCTATTTAAAACAGTGCTTTCTTTGCATGCAAGCATGCACGTTGTTGAGTGAATTATATACTTTTATAGTAAAGTAAGCCTGTTAAGTGCTGTCTGTTGTTTGGCAGCGATATATACTTGTTTTCTTCGCTATGCTTTTATAATTATTCTTTACACGAACGTATATTAAGGTGGAATTAATATTTGAATGAAAGCAATTAAAATCAATAAATTTATCTTTTCTATTGTTTTTAAAAGGCTATTTAATAAAGGAAATAGAAAACATTTT